TCAGTGATGCCATCCAACCATCTCATCCTCTGTCATCCTCTTCTCCTCCTGTCTTCAATCTATCCCAGCATCAGGGTCTTTGCCAGTGAGTCAGTTCTTTTGCATCAGGTGGCCAAAGTACTGGAGTTTCAGGTTCAGCATCAGTCCTTCCAAAGAATATTCAAGACTGATCTTCTTTAGGATGGACTGGTTGGATTTCCTTGCTGTCCAAGGGATTCTCAAGAGTCTTCTCCAACACAACAGCTCAAAAGCATTAATTCTTTGTCACTCAGCCTTCTTTATGGTCCAACTGTCACATCCGTACATGACTACTGGAAAAACCATAGCTGTGACTACACAGACCTTTGTTGGCAAAGTAATGTCTCTGCTTTTTAATACACTGTCTAGGTTTGCCATGGCTTTTCTTCCAAGGAGCAAGTGTCTTTTAATTTCATGGCTGCAGTATCCATCCACGGTGATTTTGGAGCCCAAGAAAATAAAATCTGTCACTGTTTCCACTTTTTCCCTATCTATTTGCCATGAAGTGATGGGACCAGATGCCATGATCTTAGTTTTCAGAATGTTGAGTTTTAAACCAGCCTTTTCACTCTCTTTCACCCTCGTCAAGAGGCTTTTTAATTCCTCTTTGCTTCTGCCATTAGAGTAGTATCATTCTGCCTATCTGAGGTTGTTGATATTTCTCCCTGCAATCTTGATTCCAGCTTGTGACTCATTCAGCCCAGCATTTCATATGACAGACTCTGCATATAACTTAAATAAGCAGGGTTCAGTTCAATTCAGTCATGTCCAACTCTTTGTGACCCCATGAACCTTAGCACGCCAGGCCTCCCTGTCCATCACCAACTCCCAGAGTCTAGCCAAACCCATGTCCATTGAGTCGGTGATGCCATCCAACCATCTCATACTCTGTTGTCCTCTTCTCCTCCTGCCCTCAATCTTTCCCAGCATCAGGGTCTTTTCAAATGAGTCAGCTCTTCGCATTAGGTGGCCAAAGTATTGGAGTTTCAGCTTCAACATAGTCATACCAATGAACACCCAGGACTGATCTCCTTTAGGATGGACTGGTTGGATCTCCTTGCAGTCCAAGGGACTCTCAAGAGTCTTCTCCAACACGGTTGGCAATATAAAATACACAGCCTCCTTTCCTGATTTTGAACCAGTCCCTTTTCCATGTCCAGTTCTAACTGTTACTTCTTGTCCAAGACAAGGCAGACTGCTCTTCTCCAAATCAGCAACATGGAGACTCAACTTCACCCTAAGGGCTGAGCAACAATGCACTGCATGGATGAACTTAGCCAGCTCATTCCCTTACTGTAACACATTGATGTTTTTGCTATTACAAATGATGCTAGAATTTCGCATCTTTTGACCATTTGTGAAAATATTTTTGTATCATAATATTGCTAACTGGATCAACGGGAAGGAATTTTTTTTTGGGGGGGGGGGAGGAATATTTTTAAACTGACGGATAGGTGTTCTCCAAAAAGGTTAGAACAAATTACACTCCCATAAAGAGTATATGGGCTTCCCTCGGGAAGAGGCTCCAGAAGCCTCCTTGCTCAGCCCCCCGCCCACACCTCGGTCTCTACCAGACGCTGAGAAGGGAGCGATTCTAGCCTGGGGACCCCAGAGCACAGCCCTGGCTGCTTCCAACCCCTCACTCCCTTTTCTAGCCGCAGGAGCCGCTCGGTGCCGGACGACTCCGAGGGCTGCTGGTCTGGGTAGAGGAGCCCTGCCCTCAGCCTCGCCCGCCGTCGGGCCTGCAGGGGCCGCCGGAGCTCGGCGCCCACCCTTCCCCGAGCCTCTCTGTCGGCGGGCGGGAGCAGCCTCGGCGCGGGAGGCCTCGGGGTTGAGGCGGCGGCAGCTCCGCCGGCTCCCTCCCGTCCGCCGGCAGAGAGCCTGCAGAGAGCTCCGGACTCCGCTGAGGAGATTCCAACCCGCATTCTTCGGGGCCCAGAGCGGACTCTCGATTCTATTTGATTGGTCTACATGTCTATCGCCATATGGGCTTCCCTCATATGGGGTTTCCTCATAGCTCAGTTGGTAAAGAATCCGGCTGCAGTACCGGAGACCCTGGTTCGTTTCCTGGGTCAGGAAGATCCACTGGAGAAGGGATAGGCTACCCACTCCAATATTCTTGCGTTTCCCTTGTGGCTCAGCTGGTAAAGAAGCTGCCCCCAATGCGGGAGACCTAGGTTTGATCCCTGGGTTGGGAAGATCTCCTGGAGAAGGGAGGGAAAGGGTACCCACTCCAGTATTCTGGCCTGGAGAATTTCATGGATTATACAGTCCTTGGGGTTGCAAAGAATTCCTCACGACTGAGCAACTTTCACTTTCGCATGTCTATTCATATACCAGTGCCACACTGTTCTGATTACTGTAGCTTTGTGGCCTCTGCAACAGCTGGTAGAAGCTATGATGAGCTTCGTGTGTTAGCCTTGCCACAGAGAGTTCATTTAATGCGAGCAAAAGTGAAAACATCTGAGAGCTCCGTGGGCCAGCACAGCCCCATCTGAGGTCGCTGTAGGGTCCACTGCCTCAAATGGGGACCCCAGGAACAGCTGTTCTCTACACTACATCCAACCCTAGCAGCCCACCGAGTACCTGAAGGCCTTGGTGGCTGAGGGGGAGATTTGCAGGACTCTGCCAGGGGATGTTTTATTTGAGGGGATGGCTGAGTACTGCCATTTGGACCAGAGCATAGAAGGGGGCCTGGCACTCCCTGAGGTCAGCATGATAGCAGCAGCAGTGATAAACAAGAAATCGCCACAGGTTGTTCTGGAGGAAAACTAAGTTGGCTGTGGATTTTGTCACACCTAAGGTTTGGGCTTCCCTGTGACTCAGATGGTAAAGAATCTTCTTGCACTGCAGGAGACATAGGTTTGATCCCTGGGTCAGGAAGATCCCTTGGAGAAGGGAATGGCTACCCACTCCAGGATTCCTGCCTGGAGAATTCCATGGACAGAGGAACCTGGCAGGCTACAGTCCATGGGCTCACAAAGAGTTGAACCCAACTGAGCAACTAACACTTTCATTTTCAAAGAGTATATGAGGCACTTCCTTGATGGTCCAGTGGTTAAAATTCCACCTTCCAATGCAGGGGATTTGGGTTCCAACCCTGGTTGGGAAACTGAGATCCCACATGCCATGGAGCACCTAAGCTCACACTTCACAACTAGAAAGTCTGTGAGCTGCGATGAAAGATCTGCTTGATTCAGTGAAGATCTGGAGTGCTGCAACTAAGACTCAACACAGCCAAATAAATAAATAAATACAGGGTTTTTTAAAAAAGAATATATGAATACTCCACAACCTTGCTGTTTAAATTTCTTCAACTCTCAGTAAGCTTGAATATCTGTTTATAATTTATGAACTTTTTTTCCTGATCAATCATTAACATTTTAAAAAATTGTGACTTTCACCATTCAGAGGTTTCTCATTTTTATTAGTTAGCTCTGTCAACTTTTTCCTTTATACTTCTGGATTTCATGTCATGCTCAGAATTTTATAAGAAAAAGGCAAGTTGCAAGAAAGTGTGACTAGAATTACCTCATCTTTAGTTTTTTTTTTTTAAGAAAGAAAGAAAGCATATGTGTATTCAGGTATATATTCTTAAATGACTATTTACACAGAAATATCTGGAATGACGGACTTCCCCGGTGGCTCAGCTGTAAAGAATTTGCCTGCCAATGCAGGAGATGTGGGTTTGATCCCTGTGTCAGGAAGACCCCCTGTAGAATGAAATGGCAACCCATTCCAATATTCTTGCCTGGAAAATCCTATGGACAGAGGAGCCTAGTGGGCTACAGTTCATGGAGTTGCAGAGTCAGACATGACTGAGCAACTAAACAGCTCAAGCTGGAATGACATATTTTAAGTCAGTGGTTCTCAAACTGAGCGAGTATCAGAATCACCTGGAAGGCTTGTTCTAACACAGGATGCTGGGCCCGATTCAATGTTTTTGATTCAGCAGGTCTGGGGAGGGACCTAAGAATTTGTGTTTCTAACAAGTTCCCAAGTGAATCTGGTGCTGGTAGCCCATGGATAAACTTTTGAGCACTGCTGTTCTAATCCAGTAAAGGGAATTATCCATGGGAAGTGGCAGTAAGGAGGTTTGTTTTTTACTTTATTCACTTCTTTAAGAAGCAAGAATTTCTTTGATAGTTAAGTGAAAAAATGAGATTTTTAAATACTTGCAGGTAAAAGAACAGACAAGTTTAGTGTTTTATCCAAATACAATCCTTGAGAAGGAAATGGCAACCCACTCCAGTATTCTTGCCTGAGAAATCCCATGGACAGAGGAGCCTGGCAGGCTGCAGTCACAAAGAGCCAGACACAACTGAAGCGACTTAGCACTCACACACACACATGACACATTATTACCAGGCACTTTGTCAGGACACACAAGGTTCACCTCAGGTTGCCATGCAGTAGTGTTGGATGAGTTTAAAGGCCAGATTCATACCATTGGAATTTGACCTAGAAATGCATTGTGCTCAGAAAGCTGCAAAGTAATAATTTAGAAGTAGAGGAAGGACATGTGCTGAGAGAGAATGTGGTGGAGAGGAGGCAGGGGTGCAAGACAAGTAGGACAAATCTCCAGGGATGACCTAGGTGGAGGACAGTATGTCTGTGTTTTGGAGTCAGACAGATCTGGGCTCAAATCTTGGCTTTGGACATCTCACTTACTCTCCGAGTCTCAATTTCCTCATCTATAAAATCAGGATATTAAACACCTCGCACTTTGCCTAGTAAGCAGTTCGTGCTCAGTAAACAGAACACTGGGATGCTTTGGCCATGTGAGGAGCCCAAATGGCCCAGCCCACCCGGCCCGCCTTACTCAGGTGAAGCCTCTACCCCCACCATCACAGCAGCCCTGGTTCAGGATGCAGCCCACGAGAGAAGACCCCAGATTGCTCTGGCTAGGAGCTGTGTGGGGCTTCCACAAAGGTGGGTTATAGGTTCTTGGTTTTCAGCAAGCAGAAGGGGGCTGTACGTACCCCAAAGGAGATGTAGGCGCCCAGCAGGCTGCCGGCAATGGTAGCGTAGCCTCCAGTCATGACAACGTGGATTTCAGAGAGTGTCATGTCTGCCAAATAGGGTCGGATGAGTAGAGGAGCCTCGGTCTGCAAACAGGAAAGACGTCAGACAGGCAGAGCCGGCCAGGCCAGCACAGGGGGCATTAGAGATGTCCTCACCCCCTGGGAGTGAGAGGGACAGTGAGGACTGGGGGACCCCAGGGGAAGAGACAGCAGGGAGGGGTGAGGCCCAGCATCTGAACTTGGCCAAACCTCTCGGAACCGTGGCAAAAGCCAGGCTCTGTCAAAGGATCCCCAGTCCTTCCTTCTGACCTGATAATGCTCCCCCGCGTCCAGTGCCTCCCATGTGCAGGCACTCAGCTAAGCAGCTCACACTCGTCACTTCCAACCTCCTGGGAAGGAAATGATCATCCCCATGTTCCAGGAGAGCAGAAGATCAGAGAGGTTCAAAGAATTGCCTCTGTTCATGCAAAGGACCAGAAGCAGATATAACTCCAAGTCTGAACTTCTAATGAAGATGAGGGGGTTGCCAGAAAGAAAGGAACCGGAGCACTAGAGGGCGCGTTTACTGCAGAGCACATGGGGAACCCAGAGTCATTCATTTACTCATTCAATAAATAATTCCAGCACACATTGTGTTCCAGACTGTGCTATGGAAGAGGGAGAGGGATGGGGGGGAGGGGGACGAGGGCAGGTGGGCAACCCGGGGTAAGCAGTGGACCTCAGTAGGGAGCGGCATGATCTGACTTGTGTTTTTTTTTCTTTTTGCTACGTCCCACGGCATGTGGGATCTTAGTTCCCCAACCAGGGATCAAACCTGCACCATGCACCAAATGCATCAAACCTCCATTGGAAGTGCAGTCTTAACCACTGAACCACCAGGGAAGTCCTGACTTGTGTTTTTAAAGGGCCATTCCAATGTGTGTGTGTGAAGGATGGACAGTAGGGGCAGCGGTGGTGGCAGGGAGAGCAGAGAGGAGGCGACTGCAATGTCCCAGTGAGAGACAAGGGTGGTTCATAGCAAAGGAGAAGAAGGGCAATGGGGCAGGTCTGGGATGTGGTGTGGGGCAGAGCTGGGAGGATTTGCTGATGGACTGGGAGCAGCTGGGAGCAAGAGAAGCAGAGGGAGGAAGGATGACACCTCGATTTTTGTCTGAGAAACCTCATGGAAGATGCCGCCATTTACTGTGAAGGGAGAGATTCGAAAACAAAGGAAATGGCAATCCACTCCAGTAATTTTTGCCAGGAGAATCCCACGCGCATGGGGTCGCAAAGAGTCAGACACAACTGAGCGACTCTCTCCCTCACACACACACGCACACACACATACACACGTGTGTGTTGAGGGAGGAACTCAAGGGTTCCGCTTGTTTGGACTTAGCCTAGTGAATTATCTGGGCTTCCCAGGTGGCTCATCGGTAAAGAATCCACCTGTAATGCAGGAGACACAGGTTCAATCCCTGGGTTGGGAAGATCCCTTGGAGAAGGAAATGGCAACCCATTCCAGTATCCTCGCCTGGAGAATCCCGTGGACAGAGGAGCTTGGTGGGCTACAGTCAATGGTGCTACGGAGTCAGACATGACTTAGCAACTAAGCTCTAATGAATTACATAAGGATATCCAAGTGGAGGGTCAAGGGAGCAGTGGGATGTATACCAGACTGGAGTTTCGGGAGAAGAAGTATTTAAGCCATGGGTGGGGGCAGGGGGGGAGTCTTCTAGGGACACAAGCAGACAAAGAAGAGGGCCCAGGCCCACCAACGTTGAGTTTGAAATGATACTGCTAATTCTTGAAGGCTCCCTACCCCCACCCAAGTTAATTCACCTTCAGAACTCTTCACAATCTAAGATTTGTATTTCTCAACAAAAACCACTGATTATATTTGCAACATCTCATATAAAGTAAATGCTGATACTGAAGTATCTTTTCCTCTTTGCCTCATTTTGAACATCTAAGGGACCCTGGACAATTTATCTGAGGGCACATCTGTCTTTTAAAGAAAAAAACACAAAAAAAACCCTTGAAATCAATACACTTGAATCAAAGCAAAAAAAAAAAAAAATTGCAGATGTTCTCCGAAGTTTCCTCAACTGCCCATAGTTGCCATACTTTGGCAAGTATGTCTTTTTGGTGACATACATGTTGGGCAGGTGGGCCAGGATTCTGCAATGGTCACCATGTCACACCCTTAGAAGGGCCAGGCCTTCTGAAAGGGACTCAGGACTGATAGTCCCTTCAGAATCAAAGTTATATTGGAAAATATTCTTTCAGAAAGAGACAGGGGAAAAAAAGACAGACTAATGATGTGGAAGGAACCCCAACCAGGAAGAAGAAGAAGACGTGGATTCTAAGTCCTGGCTTATATTGTGGGATCTTGGCAAGGCATCCCCAATCCTGGACCCCAGTTTTCACAGGTATAAAAGGAGAACTCTGGGCTTCATCTGTAGGATTCATGAGCCTCTAAGTTGAAGACAGCTTTCACCTAGGATAGAAGGTGGTGGGAGGTGCCAGGTAGACATCATCCTCTTTGGCTTGACCCAGGCACAGAGTGTATTCCCCAAAGGAGCATCTCTAGGACCCTGGTGACCCTGGTAGGAGGTTTGATCGGCTCTTCTGATGATGGAAGCAGGGCTCTGGGGATGCAGGGCCCCCACCTTCCTTGGGGACAGGAGGCTGCAATACCCACCTGGCTCACAAAGATATTCCCAGCCACACTCAGGGTCTCTGTGGCCGTGGTGCCCATGGTGATCTGCATCAGCCAGGAGATCTGGAAGGAAGCAGGGTGCTTTTTGTGAATTGACATCAGCAAGCCCCAGAGGCAGAGATAGTCAAGGTGGAAGTACCATAAAAGGCTTCCTTCTAACCCCGTTAGGACCTCCTCATCTACATTTCCCCAAAGATCCATTCATCTTCTCCTTCCATACCTCCATTGATGAGGGCTTACCGCCCATGAAAAAAGGATTCCCTGGTCAAGTACAGGGCTTCCCCGGTGGTTCATACAATAAAGAATCTGCCCGCAATGCAGGGGACCCAGGTTCTGTCCCCGGGTCAGGAAGATCCCCTGGAGAAGGGAATGGCAGTACACTCCAGTGTTCTTGCCTGGAGAATCCCATGGATAGAGGATCCTGGAGGGCTGCAGTCCATGGGGTCACAAAGATCTGGACACGACTGAGTGACTAAACACATACATTGGTCAAATATATTTCAGAATTGCTGTATACACACATACCTTGGAGATGGCCAACACTTGTCAGCTTAGCAAAGGCTCTGAGAACTCCTGTATGAAACTTGTTTAAATTTGTTTAGTCCTGTGTCTAGGTTAACTTCACAAAATTATTTGACCAAGGGACTTCCCTGGTGGTCCAGTAATTAAAGCTCTGCACTTCCACTGCAGGGGATGTGGGTTTGATTCCTGGTCAGGGAACTAAGACCCCACATGCCATGCACTGTGGCCAAAAATTTTTTAAAAAACAAATTATTTGACTATGGAATTCCTTTACCTAGTAGCATTTACTAATCTGCTGTGAAACTAGAGTTTTTGGAGAAAGGCTTTGGGAAACACTGTATTAAAAAGTTCTTTCTTTAAAAAACAAAAACAAAACAAAAACAAAAAATAAAAATTAAAAATTTTAAAAATTAAAAAAAAAAGTTCTTTCTTGGGAATTCCCTGGTCAAATATAGGGCCATAGAGTCCGGTGGTTAGGACTCTGTTCTCACTGCTGAGGACCCGGGTTCAATCCCTGGTTGGGGAACTGAGATCCTGCATGCTGTGTGGTATGGCAAAAGAAAAAAAAAAAGTCCTTTCTTTCAACCAACATGGAATCTGCTTCCCTGGAATTTCTCTCCACTGCAAGTACCTCTCAGGCTACTTTCCCCTAATCTTTCTTCTCTAAGTGTTTAGAATCCTACCCCTAACCTCCTTCACCCTGGCCTTCTCTTTCTGACCCTTCATCCCCACTTCCTTCAGCCATTCTATGGAAGGTGTGATCTCAGGCTCTCTCTCACACTGACAGTTTGTCAGAGCCCTTGGTTGAACACATTTTCCAGATTTGGGGATAACTGCCACACTCATGGGCTTCTCAGGTGGGCTAGTGGTAAAGAACCCGCCTGCCAATGTAGGAGATGTAAGAAACACAGGTTCGATCCCTGGGTCAGGAAGATTTTCTGGCGGAGGGCATGGCAACCCACTCTAGTATTCTTGCTTGGAGAATCCCATAAATAGAGGAGCCTGGTGGGCTATGATCCAAAGGGTCGCAAAAAGTTGGACACAATTGAAGCAACTTAGCACACATGCCACCCTCATGCCTGCCATGAACTCATAACATAATCACAGGCTCCATTTCTGGCAGCTGCCTAATGTACTGGTTTATTCTGAGCTCAATCAGCTAAAACCCTCAGCATCTCTTGCCAGGTCCAATGCCATCCAATGCTGTCTCCTGCATCCTGGTTTCGTGCGGCAGATTTTATGAACATAAGCACGGGATTTGACATTTATATCAGCTGAGTCTGGCCCAGGTGGCCCACTGCTCTCAAGATCTTTTTGGTATAAATTATTTTTTCCCCGGCATGTGGGCGTGCTGTCATTCCAGTCGTGTCTAACTCCTTACGACCCTATAGACTGTAGCCTTCCAGGCTCCCGTAACACTTCTAACACTTCTAATGCAGCCTCAATTCCTTAAACTACCCCCTCCAAAGACCCCATTGGATTGTGGCGCCAAGTCTCCTTAGTAGCATGACAAGAGACTCTGTGATAAGGCGTTTGGTTAGTAGTAGACTCTGACAGGGTGTTGACCCTGGGAGCAGGGGATGCTGGGAGGTCCAGTCTCTCAGAGCAGGGGGTCTGGGGAGAGTTTGGGCTTGGGAAAGCAAGGCATTCTGGGAGAGTGTGGGCCTGGACCAGGACCTTGGGAACTCACCTTCATAATCACCCACTGCATGAGGCCCACATAGTAGAGAACTGACATGGCACAGCTGAAGAAAACAATGATGGGCAAAACCTGCCAGGAAAGAGCACAGATCTCTGGGTTAAAGCAGATAGACGGCAGGATATCACGCAGGACCCCAGTCGGCCTGCTTCCTCCAAGAGCCTGCAACTCAGAGAACCGACAGGGTCAGGGGAGCAGCTCTGAATCCAGTGCGTGGAATTCCACATGGGACCACTCTGGAGGCAGCTGTCCTCTCTGCTCCTCTCTGAACATTAGCCATCTAGGCAGCTGTCCCTGTGGTGGAGGGGGAGGACTTAAGTTCACCACTTTTTAAGATAAATATAGATTTATTTATTTGACTGTGCTGAGTCTCAGTTGTGGCATGCAGGGTCTTCAGTCGCGGCATGTGGGATCTAGTGCCCTGACCAGGGATGGAACCCTGGCCCCCTGCATTGGGAGCAGGGAGTCTTAGCCATTGGACCACCAAGGAAGTTCTGAGCCCACCACTTTTTATCACCTGCTGATGCGGAGGAAGTGACCACCTCGAAGGTTGTTGTAAAGGTTTAAGGAGCTGGCTCAGGGCCGAGCACTTTGCACAGGGTCTGTCCTCCACCCCGGGTTCAATCCCTGGCCCATGACGCTGGCCTTAACCTTTTGCTGTGCTTCGGGCTTCAATCAGAGGCCCTCATCTGTCTAGTGTTCTACTTCTGCTTGGTGCCGGTGAGCTCCAAATGACTCATTGTGGACCAGTCACCCGCATTTCCTCCTGTCACTCCATTTCCTATTTCCAGGCTTGCCACTGCTCTTCACTGACTCCAAGTCTCTACAATTCTTCTTTCAAAGCTTCCTCACATCCACTCCTTCCTCCCTGGAGCCATGTGTTCCCCACCCCCGGTGCTTCCTCACTGCAGACTGACTTAGAATAGCAAGGGCTGGCAACAATGTGAACATCCTTCAGTGAAGACAAGTGTGATGACCTATGGTGTGGCTGTGCACTCAAGTCAGGAATCCAGAGTGAGGAAGCTGGTTCTGAGCAGTGTGAGATGATTTTGAAGATAGGTTGTGAAAGGGAAAAAGGGAAGGTGTAGAACAGGAAGCATGGTGTGCTACTTTATGAGTAAGAAAGTGGGGGTGGCATTGTGGGTGCTCTTGTAGGCACAGATATCATTAGATAAATATGCAAATGATCAGGAATGGCAGCTACCTTGGGGATGGAAGTGGGTGACTTGGGGATCGGGGTGGGAGGGATACTTGCGTGCATGCTCAGTCACTTCAGTCATGTCCAACTCTTTGTGACTCCATGGACTGTAGCCAGCCAGGGTCCTCTGTCCATGGGATTTCCCAGTCAAGAATACTGAAGTGAGTTGCCATTACCTCCTCCAGGGGATCTTACTGACCCAGGGATCAAATCCGCGTCTCCTGATTCTCCTGCATTGACAGGTGGATTCTTTACTACTGGGTCACTGGGGATGCCTGGGAGGGAGACTTACATTTTACCAAATCCCCATTTGTACAGTTGGAACGTGCTATCTGTTCCAAACAGCTTTAAAATAATAAGTTATACAGAATTAGTAGCCCACCAGGCTCATCTGTCCATGAAATTCTCCAGGCAAGAATACTGGAGTGGGTTGCCATTTTCTTCTCCAAGGGATCTTCCCAGCCCAGGGATCAAACCTGTGTCTCCTGCATTGCATGCAGATTCTTTACCATCTGAGCCACCAGGGAAAGCCAATAATGTGGTAAGCTAAAATGTAAAGTGGGGAAAGTGGAAAATTAAAAGTACTGGTGGTCCAGTGGTTAAGAAACCACCTTCCAGTGCAGAGGATGGGGGTTTGATCCCTGGCCGGGGAACTAAGATCCCACCTATCTTGGGGCAACTAAGCTAGCAAGTTGCAGCTACTGAGCCCATGCACTCTGGAACCCAAGCTACAACTGGAAAGAAGCCCTAGTGCTGCGATGACGAGCAGGGGTGCCAAGACGAAAGATCCCACGTGCCACAACTAAGACCCAGCACAGCCAAAAATAATAAATAAACAAATATTTTAAAATAATTTTAAAAAATAAAAGCATACAAATAAGGCTGGGAGGCACACACCCAAATAGTCAAAGTAGTTGCTCCCATGTGCTAGGACTGTGGACATTTTGTTTTCTTTTGTCTGCATTTCTAGTTTCTCACCTGCTTTTCTGATAAGAGGCAGACCCTTTCTCAAGGGAGGGCAGCACAGGCAGAGGAGGGCTTTGGGGGAGGTCCATTTGCACTCACTGGGTTCAAGATACCTGGGGAGCATGCACGTGGAAGGAGGGTTGCAAGGGCCAGGAGCTCAGAGGAGGGTCCAGGCCAGACCTTGGCTGAATGCATGTTGAGGCCATGGGTCAGATGGAAACTTCCCTGGGTGACAAGAGTAGTGACTGAGGACAGGGCCCTGGTGTCAGCGTTCCTGGAGGGTGAGGGGAGAAGGAGGGGTGCGTGGTGGAGACAGAGAAGAAACAGAGAGGTCCGAGAACTTCCAAGACAGGGTGTGATGGAAATTGAGAGCAGCTTTCCTAGAAGAGACCGTCCAGCAACAGTGCCAGGCGCATGCATCTGAGAACTCTGGAAAAGGTAAGGACTGCGAGGGACGCTTGGCACCTGGCAATTCCAGGGTCCCTGGTGACCTAGGTGAGAGCAGTGTCAGGGGGATGAGCACAGAGGCCGGGTATCAGTGAGCCCAGGAGTGAGGAGGACACGAGGAGGTAGAGACCATGAGGAGGTAGAGACCACAGGACAAGCAACTCTTTTGAGAAGCTTAGCTATGAGGGAAGGAAGAGGGGCTGAGCAGACTTCCCTGGCAGTCCAGTGGCTAAGGCTCTGCGCCCCCAGCGCAGGAGGTGTGGGGTGAATCCCTGGTCAGGGAACTAGATCCCACATGCTACAACCAAGGGTTCACATGCCACAACTGAAGATGGTGCATGCAGCATGCTGCAATGAAGAGGGAAGGTTCCATGCGCCTCAACTAAGACCCAGCATGGCCAAATAAATAAATAACTTTTTTTTTTTTTTTTACAGAGGACTGTAGAGAGGGGTGAGGGGTGGAGGAAGAATCATTTTCATTTTTCAGAAGAGAGAGTGTTGAGCAATCAAGTTCAAGCTCCAGTTCAAGATGAACTGGGACCACAGTGCAGTCCCTGATGAGAGCAGAAACTCTGCCCAAGCAGCTCTCCTGGAGAAGAGAAACAAGACTGGCCAAGGCCGTTTTCCCTCTCCCTTCCCAAATGAATGCCACGGGTTTTATCTGGACCTGCTCCCCTCACGTCTCTGTCACCAGCTTCGCTGCCCAGGAGATGTCACCTGACAGGAGACCCAGGCATTGAGTGGTGCAGCCCTCTTCCTGCCCCATGACCCCCCTGGCTGCCTGCTGCCGGACACGCCCCCAACACCAGATGTGGTGACGGCATTCTCCTCTCCCCTGGAGTGAGACGCAGGGAGGATCACGTACTGTCTAGGACCGCCTCTCCAGTCCATCATGCGAGGGACCACTAGGCAGCCTGGCGGGTTTGGATGGCCCAGGCCAGGGAGAAGAGGCCCCCGGGGGCAGTGGGACCTGACTGCAGAACTGGGATTTCTCCAGGCAGTGACCTAGAGACATTTTCTAGCTCTGAGATGGGGATCTTTGGTGGAAAGGCAGCTGTGACCGTCTGGGGAGGGATGATGTGTGAAGGAGAAGAGAGGTGATTTCTAAGGTGGGACATTCAATACTAAGTGAGGTCCCTGGGGACTTCCCTGGTGGTCCAGTGGTTAAGAATCTGCCTTCCAATGCAGTGGAATACAGGTTTGATCCCTGGCCAGAGAACTAAGATCCCGCATGCCACGGGGCAACTAAGCCCGTGAGTCACAACTACTGAGCCCGTGCTCTAGAACACGTGCTCCCCAACAAGAGGAGAAGCCACTGCAGTGAGAAGCCTGAGCACTGCAACTAGAGAGTAGCCCCTGCTTATTGCAACTAGAGAAAGACAGCACGCAGCAACAAACACCCAGTGCAGCCAAAAATAAGTTAATTAAATAAATAAGGTCCCTGAGTCCAATTCGATCTCCCAGTCCAGGAAATAGCCCTGGGCCCTGTAGTATGTGAGATGGCTGAAGACAGGGCAGGCAGCTGGGCCGTGCTGCTGTGTGAAGGAGGAACGTGCCATTAAGCCCCACTGCTTGTGAACTGTGCAGTCCTGCCATGAGCCATGTCCCCAGGGTGTGGTGACTCAAGGATCCTCAAAGCAACTGAAAAGTGAAAGCATTAGTCTCTCAGTTGTGTCTGAGTCTTTGTGACCCCCATGGACCATAGCCTGTCAGGCTCCTCTGTCCATGAGATTCTCCAGCCAAGAATAGTGGAGTGGGTTGCCATTCCCTTCTCCAGGGATCTTCCCAACCAAGGGATCAAACCTAGGTCTCCTGCATAACAGGCGGATTCTGAGCCATCTGAGCCACCAGGGAAGCCCCAAAGCAACTAAGTTCAACGTAAATTCACTTCACGGTGGAAACAGTGAGGCTGTGAGGTATTGCTTATCTATCCAAGGTTACACAGCTGCAGAGACAGGTACCTCCTGGCCACTAAGCAGATTGCCAAGGACCTTCCATGATCCTAAGGAACTATTCCCTGGGGCAAGTCCTGGAGCCTCATTTCTCTGTCTTAAGGAGAGGCATTCTCTTTAAGGGAGAGCCAGAGTCTGCAGTAGCCTCGAGTTTGTCCTGATCACTGCTTCATGGGCCCACTAGTACCAGTGCTTACCCTTACTTAAGGGAGAAGGAAATTACAGCACCTCTAAGCCAGTGGTTCCCAAGATGTGATCCCTGTACCAGCAGCATCTCCTGAAAATTTGTCAGAAATGCAGATTTTTGAGCCCCACCCCAAGAGTTTCAGAGTCAGTCAGTCTAGGGTGGCCCCGAGAGTCTGGCCTTTCCAGATGCTGCTGGTCTGGACTCCATACTCTAAGAACCACTGCTCTAGAGTCTAGACCAGACCCTCTGAGCAGACGCCACCTCCTTCCCCAGAAACAGGCTTTGAAGGCAGGACTAAACCCACTGGGGACCTGGCCCTGCT